AAGGAAGGAAGGAAGGAAGGAAGGAAGGAAGGAAGGAAGGAAGGAAGAAAATGATGTTGAGAACTTAGGGTGACCAGAAGGAGTGGGAAAGAAACTTCAATTCTGCATTATGCTTTTCTGGATAAAGGTCGTCTTACAATTTTTGTAACTAACACTGAGTCATTTTAAAAAGAGATTGTCATTTGTCCCTTCTCTGTCTTACCTCAATAGATCTGAAGCCAATGACTTAGCCTTACGTCTGGCACGGCAGTTCCGAGGCCACCAGGATGTGATCACTCTTGACCAGTAAGTCTTAGGCACAGGGTTTCCAAGGAAGAAGCCCCTTCAGAGCCAGAAGTGTGCCAATCTGTACCGAACCTATCTATACTAAAACACAGGCACTTGTGGAGGAGGGTGTCATGGAACTGTCATGGAGCAGTGGTTTGGAATTCCACGATAAGGTGCTGAACTTAGCTTGAGTCCAGAGGCTGATTTACTTTCTAAGCCCCTGAAAATGGGGGAGACCTTCCTGCGTGTCTTGAAACCTGCAGCCTTGTGTGCTTGATGTGAAGCCGGGCTGACATTTTACACAATCGCACCTGCTGCTGCCTCTGCATAACTCAATTATTTTCAAAATTTAAAAAAATAAGGGTAATTTCTTTAAAATCCAAACATTTGCTTCACTATTGGAATTATCCACTGTACTTAATACTAAATTAATATTAATTAATATGCAATTCATAGCACATTTGAAACTTTAGTGCTTTTGTCTGCTCGTGGCCACGAATGATCGTATTACCTCCTGAACATGAATTTGCTAATTTTAAACAAGATGTTTGACATCCATATTTACTAACATTTTAAAAATTATTTTGTCTGCCCTTATATCCCTCCACACTGCCACATATGGGTTCAAATTATGCCCACAAATTTACAGAGAGGAATTAAATACAGACCTCATGTAGACTCCTCTTAAAGGGATTATTCATTTTCTGTTGCTTCTTCATCCGTTGCTACAAACTTATGGGCTCAAATAATACAAAGTGATCTGTATTGTTTCTGTAAGTCAGAAAGCTAAAATGACTCCCTGAGCTAAAATCAGGGTTATCTGTGGGAACTCTTGGCTCTCCCATGTCTAATGTCTGTGTCTCATGGCTTGCAGTCCGGCCCTTCACCTTCAAAGTCAGTCATCACCTGACTCGGCCTGTGTTTTGATCCCCACATCTCCATCACGCTTCTGCCTCCCACTTTCTCTGATAGGACATTTCTTACTGTGTGGGATCCTCCCAGATGATCCAGAATAATGTTCTCATTGAGTGGTCCTCAGTACACCTAAAAAAATCACCTCTGCTATGAAACATATTCTTAGGTTCTGTATATAGGAGGTAAACATACTTGGGGTGGGGTGTTTCTTTTATAAAATTCTCATCCTCCATCACCTATGGACAAGCAAAATAATGTATTTACCATATATTTATTTATTTACTTATTTATATACTTGTGGACCTATGGGAGACTATAATAATATATTTAGCATCTATTTTATGCTATTTGAAATGTTTTACTAGTACATGTTAACTCTATGTAATAATGGATTTCACTATGACATTTTCATACATGTGCATGTGTTTTCCAATCATGTTCTCCACCATTACTCTCCTGTCTCCCTCCCACTTCCACGGATCCCTTTCCTCTTCCCAACTAGCTCTGCCTGTACTTCCATGTCCTTTAATTTTTTACATGATGTAAAACATGGTATCTTACATGCATCTGCTTTACCAAAGCTAGTGTAGATCTCCCTTTTCATGTTTCAGCCCATACAGAATTCCTGAAAGGCATTCCATTCCTCTAACTCAGTTCTGACAATAGAAACATAATGTGAACCTTGTATGGGATTTTAAATCTTCCAGTAGTTTGGGGTAGCCAACATGCTGTCATTTTAATATGTAATCAACATAAATTACATTGACGTATTTTTCATTTCTTTTTTTTTTTTCACTGAGTATCAAAAGTGCAATGTCTGTTTCACACCAGAGCACATCTCAGGTCAGACTAGAGATGCTGCCAGTGCCCATAGCTCCATGCGGGGAGTTGCTGCCTTATTAGGTATTATACAGTGCTGTTCTCACTGGGCAGCACCCCAGTGACAGGCACGGACTTCATCTGCTCCCAGCACCAGCAGAAATCCTTCCACACCGTCCTCCACAGGACATTCTGAGAATTCCCTAAGGATAAATTCCAGAAACAAGATGACTCGGCAGCCAGGTATATGAAGGTGCTGTTAAAGGTTTCAATATTTGTCTCCAGCATGGTTACAATTCCAGACACAACACAAGAAAGGTCCCCTCTCCAAAGTCTAACAAAACACAATACTATCCAGCTTTCCTTTTTCCCAACTGTTGCTAATCCAATGGGTGTAACATATCTTCATTGGCACTGTTGATTTGAGAATCTCCTCAAAAAAAATTTATGATTTTATCATTCCTTGGGGTTGCCTTTTTGTATTCTTTGCCATTTTTCCAGTCAGGAGTCTCCTCCTTCTGTTGCTACTTTGCAGTTTCCTATCTGGCCTAGGCCAGAGGATCTCTATTTGGAATTATCTGTGGGTGGGTTTTAGATCTTCTCTCCACATCGGCCGATTACATTTCTGAACAAGAACTAGAAAGAGGAATATCATCACCATTTGTGCCTTCAGGGAGAGAAAAGTATTTTGTAGCTACTCAGTCGCCTCTCAGTCCAAGTTTTTCTTCCAGAAAACTAGTGTTAGCCTAGTGTCTCCAACCGACCATCCACTAGACAGCAGCCCAATCAGAAAGCCTTAGTCAGTGCTTCAATATATAACTATGGGACTCCTGGCAGCGAGAGCAGGGAATGCCTCTGACTCTGTGGCCAGGTTTGGGGACCTACTCTTCCTGCTGGATTGCCTCGCTCAACCTTTGTGGAAGAGGGGGTACCTGCTTTCCCTGCAGCTTGATAAACCATGGCTGGCTGAGATCCATGGAATGCCTACCTATATCTGAGGGGAAACAGCGGAAGAAGAGTGGATGGGGGATGAGGGGAAGTAGGGGACTGGGAAAAGTGGAGGGAGACGAATCTTTGTCTAGGATGTAAAAATAAAATTAAAAAAAAAAGAAGAAAAAAAGAAAATGCCACAGTGGAGGGGGGGTTACACAGACAGCTGGGACTGTTTCACAGAGAAACCCCATCTCAAAAAAAAGGGTAGAAAGTGGGGAAGGGAAGAGGGGAGGGAAGGAGGAAACAAAAAAGAATGTAGAAAACTCAAATCACAAGATTGCATGGAAATATGAAAACATTCAAATTCAGACTTACTAACCAGGCATGGTGACACATGCTTGTAGTCCCAACTGAGATAGAAGAATCACTTGAGGTCAGGAGTTCAAGGCCAGACAGTGGTATAAGAGGTCTATGGTTTTTTTTTTTTAAAAAAAAAATTAGGCTGGTAAGGTGGCTCAGCAGGTACTTGCTTGGCAAGCCTGGCAGCCTGAGTCTGATTCCCCTGGATCCACATGGCGGAAGGAGAGCCCTAACTCCTTCAAGTGGTCCAGGCTGCTTATGCACACACAAGAAATAAACAAATGCTTAAAGTGTTTAAGAATGTAGATAACTAAGCCAGGCAGTGGTGGTGCACGCATTTAATCCCAGCACTCGGGAGGCAGAGGCAGGAGGATCTCTGTGAGTTCAAGGCCAGCCTGGTCTACAAAGAGAGTTCTAGAACAGCTAGGACTGTTTCACAGAGAAACCTTGTCTCAAATAGAGAAAAAGAGGAGGAGGGAGGAAGGGAGGGGAGAGAAGAAGAAAGAAAGGAAACAATGAAACAAAAACGAATGTAGAAAACTCAAATCACAGGATTGCATGAAGATATGAAAGCATTCAAATTTAGAGAATCTAATTTAGCAACAAAATTCAAAAATATTTATTTTCCCACTGTAATGGAAACCAATGCCTATGAGGACACATTAGATTTCTCAGGTACTTCATTGTATGTATGAGGGAAAATGGACATATCAAATGGCCGGTACTGTCATGAAAGGCTAGATCCAGTGATACAGTTATTTGTGGCACCAACAAGGAAATTCTCCCCGGAGACGAATACAGAGTGGTATACAATACTGGCTTTCATATGGAAAAACACCTTTCTTGGGGCAATTTCCATTGCTTTTGTTTTCCATTTCAGTGCTTACCACGGTCACCTGACATCGTTAATTGAGATCAGTCCCTATAAGTTTCAGAAGGGCAAAGATGTTAAGAAGGAATTTGTACATGTGGTAAGTATCCCTAAATCCTATCATCAGAATGCTGGGGCTAGAATGTCTATTGTCATCCAGCCCAACCCTCGGAGCAGAATGGAACCATGGGAAAGAAACTAAGAATTAGAGCGGTCATGAAACGTGCTGACCTCAGAGGGCCACGTACTGGCAGCATGTGGCTCACACTGAGAATCGTGGCCGGAGAGTTTAGTGGCAGATGAGTTTTTCAGCAGCTATTGTTTCATTCTTGCGCCCACCGGTCTTTAGTTACTCTTCCAATTAATTACTACTACTTGATCAACACCATGAGTCAAGAGAGTTTCTACGACTATCATCAAAATAATTTACATAAAGCAAAAATCAGAGGCCTCAAACCAGACCAATGGCTTGTTGCAATGAATACTTAGAAGTTTATGGACTACAGGGTATATATACTGTGTGATTTCTGTGTCTTGCCACACATGCCAAGACCTTTTGATTTGTTCTGTTTGTTTTGTTTTTGCTTCTTGTTTTTCTTTTAAAATTTATTTTATTGGGGGGGGTTGCAAGGGCAGAGGGTAGATATGAAGGAATGGGAAGATGCGTGGGATTAGGATTGTATGATATGAAATCCACAAGGAATGACCAAAACGTTTTAAAAACTAATAAAATTTAAAAATGTATATAAATCATAATTATGTAAATAATGTGAATTGTTTTAAAGGTATATTACATCAAGTGGAGAAGCCAGACAAGTTGTTGAAACAGTGAAATTCACATCGTATGGTTGTGTTAGTTGAGGGTCAGTGGACTCTTAGAGACCTCACTGCTTTATTTCAAGGCTCTAAGAATAAGCACTAAGATACCCAAGTTTGTTAAGTGATCGTAGTTTGTGATATAATTGACAGTCTGAGTTTGTTTTACAAACATTCATTAGTACAGTCTCCACTTCTTATGATTTTTATATGACATAATTGCACCTGCCAATCTGTATTTGCTTTCTCTGTGAATAGTGATAAATTTTTGATTTAGAGGGTCTAGGTCCAGCTCACAATTCAAAGATGTCAGCTCTTCGGAGTCTTCAGAATGTACAGAGATAAAAGGCACTGGGGGTTCTTGAGTCAACACAACCACCCTCCGACATGCCCTGGTGGGGAAAATAGATGCTCTCTTGGTTTTCAAGTTTGGCCAAGAGGCAAATTATGAGAAACCGTATCATCTGATGCTCTAGGCACCAACTCCAGATACTTACAGAGGGAAATACAGAGAGGACCACGAAGACGCAGCCACAGCCTATGCAGATGAAGTGAAGAAAATCATCGAAGACGCTCAGAGCAGAGGAAGGAAGGTGGGCACTATGGGAAACTCTTTTAACGTCTTTTACAGAAATAGTTATAATAGACTTCTCTACAGAGACGAGAAAGGATTAAATCGAAAATTCCATTCAGTTCTTTGCTGGTTACATTTTCACTTGGTTTTGGAGAAGAAAACCACTTTCTTCTCCAGTGCTGCTGGCTAATTCTGATCTCTCACGTACTGCCCAGGGTCTGGTTCCTAGAGCCAGGCTCTCCCAACTGTGAGGGTCGTGGGGAAGCAAAGAGGCAGAGGGGTTCAATGTCGGGGGCAGTCCCAGCTCTCAGATCCTCAGGGGAGTGATGGTGCTGTTGGAGCTAGGGGGCTTCTGAAACCACAGGACTGAGGCTCGGCTCCTCACTGCGCCAAGGCAGAAAAACAACCTTTCCGCCTGGGCCTGGACTTCCCAGACAGCACTGGAGTTCTCGAGGGCAGGAAAGGAGTTCATGCTTTCGGTCTTCACCCCACTGTCCACAGATTCGCGTTCTAGTCTCCACCACTGCAGGGCTGCGTAGGTGCAGATCAGATGCAACTAGACAACACTCAGCCTTCAAACTGTTTTATGGCACAGACATGATGATACAAATGCTTCATTAAATAAAAATGATTTGCCTTTTCCAGTGAATTAAAAATTTTTTTGCCTTCATGACAGGAGATCCATTTTTTTTCTAGAGTAGCTCTTCCACCCCTCACCCCTACCTCCACACTGCCACCCCCACCCCTGCCTCGCTTTCATGTCCTTTATGACATCTTCGTGCAAATGAGCCTAAAGCTCTACCTTCCATAAAAGCTTCCGAGTCTCCTCCCTGCAGTTTAGTATGGTAAATGATGCTTTCAAAAAAAAAAAAATGTTTTTTACCTCAATAAAATGATATGGACTCTGCTCCTAATGGAGGGTCTAGGTGATTGTTGGTTTTTGATGTTTTGGTTTGGTTTGGGTTTTTTTCCCAATATCAGTGCTACACAGTTTGGGACGTGATACCACCGGGTTACCAATGCTGAAAGCTGTGAAAAAATAAATATGGGGCATACACTTGTAAATGTCGGCTGTGCTTGTGATATCATGGAAGATTAGAGCAGAAATTTCTAGAGTCCAGCGGCCTCATTTTAGAGCTAAGACACTAAATAACTCTGAAGTAAAGAGTTTAACCCGGTTCGGGCAGCTGGTAGGAGTCTGGGGGCAGACTTGGTTCTCTTAGATTTCTTGCCTCATGCCTTTTTGAGCTCTCTTCTTCCATCAGTGATTGCCACTTTGAACTTCTCCTTCCTTAGCCTCCGACATGCTTCCCCTGTACTTTCTGTTGAGAGGCCTCACTTTTGAGGAAAGCCTGCTTCAAATCCAGACCTAGTGCTCGTGTGGAGCCCCAGGCTGTGTGCCTGCTCCCTTGGTGTGAACTCTAGCCTCAGGCAGTCCTATTTTGCTAACTAGGGAATGGGCACCAAGGCCATGCCTTCTGAACCTCGATCAGTTTGCAAAGGTTCATGTCATAGACATCAAAACAGTACTCTTACTGGGCACAGTCTGACAAAAGAGATTGCCCCTTAATTAAGCTCTCAGCGTGGTTTCCATTTCCCCAGGGGGCAGGACTTCATTTAGATCACCGCTCTTCCACCAGAGGCAGCTTTTATTTTTAATTAGCAGACTGTGTAGCACGCACCACAGATCTGTTTCTAGCCATTTTAAACCTACTCAAAGGGCTGGAAAGATGGCTAGCCGTCAAGAACACACACTGCTCTTGCAGAGGACCCAGGTTTGGTTCCCAGCACCAAAGTCAGATGATTCACAGCTACTTACAGCTCCATCTTAAGGGGGGGGGGGCTTTATGCCTTCCGACATCTGCACACATGTATACACACACACATACATAAAGTTAAATCTTCTTTATATAGTGTGTTCTTGAGGCTGTAGAGATGGTTTAGCCATTAAGAGTGCTTGTTCTCTCAAGACCCAGGTTTGGTTCCCACACCTACAGGGCAGCTTAAGAACTCTCTGTAACTTCAGTTGCAGAGGATCCAGTGCCCTTTTCTGGCCTCCTTGGGCACTGCATGTACATAGAACATAGAAAACAGGCATGCATGCAGAACACCCACATACACATCAATAAAAATAAATCTTTAAAAATAAAAACCTGTCATATAGGAAACTTTTTAGGGGGTAGGTATCTTGCATAGATTGTGACCCCATCTTCTTTTGTATAGATTGCCGCCTTTATTGCTGAATCCATGCAGAGTTGCGGTGGACAAATTATTCCTCCAGCAGGCTACTTCCAGAAAGTGGCTGAGTATGTACTTGGCTTGGGCATCCTTGGTCAAACTGAGGGCACTGTGGCAAGTCTATAAGGTCATACTTCCAGATTAGCTGATAAAAAAAACTGCTGCTGTCTGCCTGCTGCCTTGAGGCTCTAGAATGTCCCTGATCTTAACCAAGATCCAGCAGATACAGGGTTTAACATAGTCCAGCCTGCAAAACTATACCCCAGCTCCTGCTGGGCATCCTGTCTCACTGGCCCATAGCTACGCCTTGTCAATTAGTAGACGTGAAGATTAGCCTTGTTAAGAGCCACTTGTCCAACTCTCTCCCCAAGTGGAATGTTGCAATACAGCTTACTTTAAGTAGCATACATCCCGTACGGAGTAAATCTAATCTAGAAATTGCGATTAGCCTGTAACGTTGCTGCATGGTTTTGAGTCCTCGGACGGAGGCTTTGGGTTAATACTTCTCTGCGTTCAATAGTCTTTTTTGGGTAGTGCTGGGGACACTCATCCGCATATATCTTTGCGTTTCAGACATGTTCGCAGGGCAGGGGGTGTGTTTATTGCTGATGAAGTCCAAGTAGGCTTTGGCAGAGCTGGGAGGCACTTCTGGAGCTTCCAAACGCACGGCGGCAAAGACTTCATTCCAGACATCGTCACCATGGGGAAACCCATGGGCAACGGTCACCCCATGGCCTGTGTGGTGACAACCAAAGAAATTGCAGAAACCTTCAGCAGCACTGGCATAGAGTATTTCAATACGGTAAGTTTGGGTTCACAGCTTTAATTCTAAGAGGGAAAACTAATGCATATTCTTAGGTAATAAAGAAAAGGGCCCTGTGTTAGCGTACCATTCTAATACTCTTGTCAAACTTCAATCACACCAGCCTGGATTCCCTTTGGATTGTTTCCTTGTGCTTTTTCCTCTTCTGGTAACATTCTTGTTAGTTTTGTGAGGATAGATTTCCTGCCAATCTTTGGGGGCTATTTCATTAACAGATGATGTGGTCTTCCTTATTTTGTGCTGTATTGAAATTCCCCAAACACCTTGAAAGCTTTAGATGATTTGGTACCATGAATGTCCGTCAACTCTCATAAGAGAGACTCAGTGTTGACCCTTGGAAAGCTGTCTTTGGCTTTATCCCCCGAAGTAAACACTTTAGGTTGGGAGAGTCACTGCCGTGTGCACAGCAGCAAAAGCAAGGGGCCAAGCATAGAAAGAGCTTGTTTTTCAGAGAAAATATTGATTAGCTGTTTATCTCTCGGGATAAAAACACTGGTTTCCCTCACTGAACCACACTTCGGAATCTTTAATTCACAATCTAATATTTTCTGGATTGTTTGGATGAACCAATAAACCCCTTATAATCCCTCACACTAGACACATATCCTGGAGAATTTTCCAGGAGTGAATTTTCACTCAGTTTCAATGAATAAAATCATTCTGTCTTCTAAGCCTGATAGGTTAGTATTACAAAACAAAATACATTTTAAAAATTTATATACATGGCATTTACATAAGCAACCTTATCTTTAATAATATATACCTTTGTGGTGACTGTTGAAGACATTAAAATGGGTTTTGTTTTTCACACATGTTGAATGCCAAGTTTCTCATGAATGAAGAGTTACCACTAATTCCATTGCTGTTTTCTCATCTTCGTCTGTAGTATGGAGGAAATCCAGTGTCTTGTGCTGTTGGGTTGGCTGTGCTGGATGTAATTGAGAAAGAAAACCTTCAGGGAAATGCTGTCAGAGTGGGGAATTACCTCACTGAGCTACTAGAGGCACAGAAAGCTAAGCACCCTTTGATAGGGGATATCAGGTGGGTTGATCGACCGTCATGGATACATTTGTTTCTCCGTAACAGTCTTGTAAACTTGAAAGCTTGAACTCAAGTTTCTAAAACACTGAGAAACAGAGAGAGCAAGAGTTGGTCTTAATCCAGGACTCAGGGACCACCCTGGAAACATTGGGGTACATATCTTTCCTCACATTTGTAGGCTTTGGGGGGCTGGAGAGATGGCTCAGAGGTTAAGAGCATTGACTGCTCTTCCAAAGGGCCTGAGTTCAATTCCCAGCCACCACATGATGACTCACAACTATCTGTAATGAGATATGGCGCCCTCTTCTGGGCTGCAGGCAGACACGCATAGATAGAATATTGTATACAAAATGAATAAATAAATCTTTAAAAATTGCAGGCTTTTGCTGTGTAAAGTTAGGATAATTTTAAGCCCAGGAAAGGAAGAAAGAACAGATAATTCCAATTATCTGTGGATACAGAGGAAAATGGTATCTCCATTGCTGAGTAGTTTTCATAGATAGTTATAAAAACTTGCAGCCATGAGTACCCTGAGAAATTAAATGGCATCAAGTGTTGTTTGAGGACTGGAGAGCGTGCTCAGTGGGTAAAGAGTTTGCTGTACAAGCATAGGGACCTAAATCGGTCCCCAGAACATACATAACCACGGCAGGTGAGTGGGGTTCACCTGCAACCGTAGTGCACACAGGCTATCTAGGGAGAGGCCCTTTGTTAGAAGGATGACCCCCGACTAACACCACCGAGGCTGGCCTCTGACCACCATAGGCACATGCCTATGTACACATGCATTCCCTACACACACATACATGCATATAAACACAACTGTTTGAAGTACGATCCTCTTGTAAAACTACGTGAGATGGGAAATCTCTAATGGCAACGCTTGTTTCAAACATGAGAAGCAACTGTCACACTAGTGGCATCCTGAGTTAGTTAAGACAAGCTGCATTTCTACTTAACGGCACACTCAGTTTGACATTAAAGGTCATTTGGTGACAGTGCGGGGCTCAGAGAGTACACATGGACTCTTTTTCCTCTTCTTCAGAGGTGTTGGCCTTTTTATTGGCATTGATTTGGTGAAGGACCATGAGGAAAGGACGCCTGCAACAGCCGAAGCCCAGCACGTCATCTATAGGTCAATTCATGACCCCTCATCCCCACTGCACGTGCTCACTGCCCCTCATCCCCACTG